CCCCAAAACCCCAAAACCCCAAAACCCCAAAACCCCGTGGGCGTGAAAATTAGTTGAAATTATATATCAGATTTCACCTTATCAGCTAGATCCTCAATGATAAATTTATTCGTGTTCTTTACATCTTGGAAAACCTCCTTGGTGCTAATGAACAGATCCTGGAGTTGTTTGTTAAGACTCTGGAGAGTAAGAAGGTTCTCCTTTTCTAATTTCTTCTCCTCATTTTTAGGTGCAAATTTGCCTCCTTGGGCATGTTGTTGCTCTGGCTGTTGAACATTCTTGATGCCCATATTCTCATGAGGCGCTTTATCAGTCAGCACAAATAATTTGTCATTAGGAGTAATCTTGTAATCATTTGATTCCTTCGGATGCAGCCAGACGTATGACTTATACACTCCTATGGGAATCGTATTGTGAACTTTCACAAAGTATTCGAAGAGATTACTAAAAGATAGATTTTTAATATCAGGAACATCCACACTTGTTAAACTACACTGAGACAGGTTGAATTGTTTGTACACTTTCGATAACTTTTCAGGTGTATTGGCACTTCCCATGATCATTTGATTCAAGATTTCAGTAATCTTCGGTGAGTAATAAGCCTGACATAATAAAGTGTCCAATAGAGATGAGAAATATATCTCCCCGGCTGCAAAGGGCTTCGAAATAGAGTACCCATATTTCTCAAGGTTTTCATCTTTCCCTTGGATCAAAAAGTTTATTGTTGAAGTTGAAGCAAGATCTGTGATTATCCTAGATGCGTTATAAGTGCTTCTAATTGTTTTATACATAAATATAACATCTGCATCCATCATTGTTTGGTATTTAATATTAGCAGTTCCTCCTCCTTCATGTGGTTTTGCCAAAATAATGACAGCTATGGCCTTAGTGATCCTTGCTTTCTCCAGATCTGCTGGGTTTAGAGCAGATCCTTGCATGATATAGATCTCTTCGAATCAGTTTATTTCCCTCCAGATGTTTGTCTCACAATCAATCCCATCCTCTCTACCATTATCATTGCTCAGGATCACGATTGGGATCCTTGGGTTTGACAATGTCTTTGACCTTAAAGGAAGGATTAAATTCTGAATTCCAGAAATAATCCCACATACTATAATATGGTCCTCAATTCCTTTATCGATACACTTCTTGATCTGAGCTTCAATGAGAGGAACTGGTTTCTTTGTGCATGCAAAGTTTTCATAGTTCAGCTTACTTGTTTTAGTCAAATTAGGCCCAATTATTTTGGATAAGTTCATATTTCACAAGAATTTTGACTTTTTCTGAGAATTCAGCTCCTTCTTGTTCAGATATCTGCTAATGAAAAAGTTCTCGCTATTGTTCTTGTCCAGATTTAAGTTGTTTATCATATTGTAGTCAGGATTTTCATGATGGATTACATATCCATGGTGATCTAGCGGTTCGAAGACGTACTCTGAAGGATTCACAAACACTTTGAGCTGGTCTCCGATTTTAACCTCCAGAGCTATTAAAATGAGGTTTAGTTGATGGAACAAAATCATTACAACATCTTTGAACTTGTATCCAGCATATAACTTCTGCTTTAGTGGGACTCGATAAAGCTCAAAGTCTGTTCCAGAGAGGTAGTTTTTCATCCATTCATTCTCTTGTGAACGAGGATCAGGATTAGCGATGCTTTTCTTATTATTCTCCTCTTTCTTATCTTTCAAATTTATAGATGGAGTGTTAGAGGTGATCAAAGACCAAATAATTGTAATTATTCCTGGTGAAATACAGCTTTTAGCGAGGAGTTGAAGCTTCAGTTCCTCAACTCATATAACTTGGTCAATTCTGATCTCAGACTGGAGTCCTGAGTAGTATAAATCCTTATGTTCTGGTTTGACTAGCTGTAAGCATAGCCTGAGCTCTTTATCTTTCCTCGCTTTTGCATATTGCTTAACTCAGAAAGACTGAAGAATGTTACTATAATCCTCCATAATAGGATCTTTACAGAACTTATTACTGAGTACGACAACACAAGTGGCAGAGTCAGCCATGGCTCTCTTGAGGTCTTTATGATTCAATGGGTTTCCTTCTAAATAAATAGCTCTCCCTGAGTGTGGCTTCAGGATATCGACCATCTCCTTAGTTGGTGATGAATTCCTCATAATAATCACATTTATATCAGCTTGGCCATGATCAGGATGGTATCATTCATCCAAGAAGGTTCTAATGTCATCGGGAGGTGCATTTCCTAACACAAGAATATGCCGGCTATCTTTCTTTGACTTTTTATACGAAAATCTAGCATATTTTGAAGTTAAAGACTGTACCTTCAGTAATTCTTGGAATTGTGTAGGCAACAGCCCAAGCATTACTCCAATGGTTAGGATAATCAAGAGCCTCCCTGCGTCTGTGAAAGGAAAAATATCTCCATATCCCACAGTGGTCATAGTCACAATCATAAAGTAAATCATTTCATGAAATGTATAGTTCTTTTCTGGATAATTAGATTCAAATCCCTCAAGAGGTATATCTTGGGCCACTTTTTCTTCTATTTTGGGAATCTCATGATCTAAAAAGTTATTCTCAACTTCCAGCATAGCTGCTGCCATGAAGAACATAGTTGAAACAAGGGTGAAAATCAGCGTGAATGTCCTTCTACTAATTTCCTTATTCTTCTTCTTAAATAGTTTATTTATCCTAAATATACAGAAGAGCCGGAGAACTCTCCAGAATAATAAGTAGTTCTCCTCTCCAAGAACTCCAACTCTGACTAAAAAGAAGGGGATTATGGTGATGTAGTCCAAGATTGCGTAGATTCCAAAGCAGTAAGCCACTCTTGACTCAGCAGTATAGAAAAATAACAAAAATTGGAGTATGAAATAACTCAGAATAATAATCTCAATGATCTTCAAAATAGGAGGGATGTTCTCTAAGTCAAAATAAGTCTCTACGGCGTACAGCATTGGGATAATGCCTGAGTTTGTAGCACTGATTATCTCGATTATATCCTCTGTCCCTGTCTCTCTCAGGTACTTTGACAGTTTCATAGCAAAGGAGGATTTCATATCGTCTAGATTCTTGGTATCATCATCTTCGCCAATTAGGCGCTTGACATAGGCATAATTTGAAGTTTGAAAAAGGGTCATTTTCAAAAATCCCTCTTAAATATTATAAACCTAAAAATATCATTGGGGTTTTGGGGTTTTGGGGTTTTGGGGTTTTGGGG